ATATGCGTATGTGAAGTGACTTCTCATATTTATTCACATAAAGTCTCACTTTTCTTAGTAATGACTTCATTCAACTTCTTTGGGTTATCAGGTAAAAAAAACAAAACACTCTTACCAGGTGTAAAAATATCAGTCTACACACTGTGAACCAATTAGTGCAAAATAAGTTAAGTGCAATGTTACATGATGTCCGATGTCCACATGATTACAGTCTTTCTTTTTGTCACTGACTGTTCAACCACAGAGGGGGGGGGGTCACTGTGCTGCCGCAACACGAAGACGGAAAGCCGGATGCAAAAAAAAAAAGATATTTAGGACATAATCGATCCACAGTAGCACAGCGCATGCCCTTATTCACAACAAGATTTAAAGTACAGTACAAGCGCCATTACAGAATCAGTACAAAATGTAAAAGAAAACATATGCAATGAATGTACATAGAAGTATTTTCAAAAACAAAAAAAAACGTGAGCTTCCTTTTTAAAATTGGATTTGAACGCTGTCCCAGTGCTGTAAGAGTTCTGCCAAAGGAAATCACAGCCGATTCATCTGTGACTGAGGAGGGGGAATATCCATCCAAATTACAAGGAAAAATATAGCATTTATTCAATACATGTTAGAATTTCATTTCTCAATTAGAAATTCAAAAATCTATACTCTTAAGTAATATTTACTTATTAAAATCTCATCTTTGTAAACAGTTTGCCCTTTTTGTTTCTAGTTTGAAAATACAATCTAATCAGGCTTATATATGTATATATATTTATATTTATAGATCTGTGGCAAACATCTCAAAAATAATCTGATTCCATATGTAAAGAAATACATTTTAAAAAAAAAGCTCTAATCTCTCTAGTCTTCATTTCTACCGTGATTGTTCGAGAGCCTGAAGTAGCCACGACGCGGCCGGTTTTCACTTCACCTGGGCGGCCAGATGTTTCGCCACCGACATGTCACTGCTCCAGCTGTGAGCAGTAACAGCTCTGGGCTCCCGTTACCTCATTTACTGGAAGTAAATTGTGTGTTGGCATTCCTGCTGCTCTTCAGCATGGCGATGGGGTTGCTATGGTGTGTAACCGTGGCGACGAGGTTGCCATGGCTTCAGGGGGGCTGTGAGCTGGTGATGAGAGAAAGAAGCGGGAGGACTTTGGCTCCTCGCTGGATTGTATCACATGTTTTCACCCGACTCTTTTTGGTTGGAGGGGGAGAAGCGGCCTGGAGGAGGTGCAGACTCTCGGAACTGGACCTACTTCTGCTCCCAGTGCTGATTTTACACCCCAAACTGCGCCGATCCTCCATTTAAAATAAAGTCTGAGAAACACGAGCTCGAGCATGTGTGAGGGTAACTTTGCATGAAGCAGTTGTAAACAGTGTTTGTTCACAAGTCTCCTCCTTAAAAATGTGTGTGCATGACTGTGCACACGTTCATCGTCTTTCACATTTAATGAATCTTAGTGGCAGTGGATGCATGCACAGTGGCCCTATAGAGATCGTTGGCATGCATATTCAGATCTGTACACTCTATACACTGCAAATCCAGGTGTGTGTTCTTTTTCTTTAAACCTGTGACGCTCTTTATGTTCAGAGTCTGTCACTGCGAAAAGTATCCTCCACAGATGGGTCCGGCAGCACCATGTCGGGATCACTGAGCATGCTCAGACCGTCCAGGCTGAGGGGCTCGATGCGCAGCTCGTCCTCCAACGGGAAGCCACCCTCTGAGTCAAAACATTCAGGCACCGTAGAGAGTGCGCTGCTGATGTCCTTTGACAGACTGGGGTTGGAGTCATCTGAGGGAGAGAAACAGATGATGGTGGGTGAACGTTTGCTCCTGTCTGGAAAACACTTCCTTTCTATCTAACAGTCTCACTGCCCTCATCGTTAGTCCTGATAGCTCCTTTTTAAAAAGAAATCTGACACTCTTCCATTTCAACTGGAGTAAACAAAGCCGGTGCCGAGGCAGCACAGACACAAGTCAACAACTCCGTGAATGTATGTTCATTTTCCTCCTGTGAGAAATGCTTTAAGCCTCAGGAAACAATCACTAACATCACACACTCCTGCTAATATTTGCATTCAGTGAAATCGCAGTGTGAACAATGAAAATTTAATGAATCATAATCATCTCTCCAGAGACAGTTACTGCAAACAAGTGCTAATGTTTGTGAGGCCACACACGAGGTGGTGAAAGGACACTGT